AAAAAAAAAAAAAAAGAAAGAAAGAAAGGAAAAATAAAAAAGAAATCATTCCTGAAAGAGCTGAGACTCCTAGGTTTGTTCTAGGGAGGCAAGTCATAAAAGCCATTGTTTCTAGGGCATTATTATATACAGATTTCAGTCACATAAGACCCAAATGAGGAAGTAAAATTTCAGGAGTTATTTTTGTCTTTCTCCCCACTGGGTAAGCTAATAGGGTGGTTTCTGTTTGGGAAAAGACAGTAATTCATAGCTACAAATTCTCATGCCTTATCTGTCCTATTTGACAAAGCAAAAAAATGGAAAAGAGATTGGAAACTGACTAGAATAGCTATGGCATTTCCCTTTTGTTCATTTAAACAGCCTAAACTGGGTAAATATGTACAGTTGAAGCATAGAAAATGTATAATGAGAAAACACTGGACAGGACTTTTGATGCCAAGTTAGTTTGAGGGCTGTCTCTTCTGAGAAAGGGATTAACACTGGATTAGAAGGAAGCTCCACTTTTGTAGAAATTCCTACCAGTTATCAGTAAGCTGTGTCTCTGTGGAGGGATCTGCTGTTTCCACATCGGTCTCTTGGCAGATTTCAGTTCCTTGTAGTTGCAGAACTGAGATCCTAATTTCTTTAATGGCTGGCTGTCAACTAAGAGCCACTTGTAGCTTCTACAGGCTACCTACATTCCTTGGCTTATGGCCTCCTTCTTCCATCTGCAAACCTAGCAATGCTGGATTGAGCCTCTCAAGCTTCAGATCTCTCCTTCTTCTAGTTCATTTCTCTATCCCAGCTGGGAAAGATTCTCTGACTCATGTGATTATATTCTGTGCACCTGAATAATCCAGGCTAATCTCACCATCTCAAACTTGGTGCCTTAATCACCTATGTGAAGTTCATTTTGCCATGTAAGATAACATATTAAAGGTTCTGGAGTATAGGAGGACATCTTATGGAGTGCATTATTTTGCCTGTTACACAGCCAGTGCCAGGAGTGTCCACAAACCAAGGGTAAATATTGCTGAAGTTATAGAATCCAAATTTACAAATATCTCATATCTATAATGGCATAGTTATGCCTGGTGTATTTCCCTCCTTCCAGTGATAGCAAGGTTTCTCTCTTTGATCAAACTCACTGGGATGGATGACTACCTGAACAAATAACTTTTTCTTATCAATATTCTTTATTACATTCTTGGGAGTCATATATGAGCTATTCTGTCTTGCCTTCTTCCTTTTACCACTCAGCCCAATCTGACCATCTCATCTGCACCCACACAGCTTATTTAAGCACCTTCTAACTTCTCTCATGTGAATACACATATCCTTTTTAATTCCCCTATCTAGTCTCCTGATTTGTTTCTGATTGCCTCATGGGGGAGGAAACATCTTTACTCTTTTTCTCTATCCCTTCTTTGTTTCATTTGTAAGCTGATCATTCCAATGTGAAGGAAAATTTAGGAAACAGCTTATTCCCAAGATGTAAGTTGCTTCTTCATATTTGACTAATTCTAAATGGCAATGAGATCGAAAGAAAGTGAAGCTCAAAACTCTTACCTTGAAAATCAAAGCCCAGACAAGCACAATATGTCTTTATATCTGTGGTATGAATTGTATGCTTTTATATCATGAAATCTCTCAGCACACTCCATGCGTTGGCAGTTTGAATGGCTCTGCTACATGCTTTGTATTAATTTATTTAAGTTTGATAATTGCTCCCCAATTTCATATTTTTAAAGTACAGCAGGATACATTGAATGACTTCTAATGTTACCCATTTATCTTCTAGATAGATTTTAAAATCAGCATACTGAAAAACAAGATACAGCCAGAGGCAATACTCATCTTGTGCTTTCTACCTTAAGTGAGTAAGAAGATTACCTTAGTTATTAGCACCAATCAAACTAATTACTACTTGAGGCAATTACTGAGATAAAGTCCAGTCTTATCTTAGAACCAGCCCAAACTACAAATAGGCATGGCATTATTATAAAGTTAGGGGAGACTTTGTCCCCATTAAACATTTTTATAACAGAATTCAGTGGGGAGGGTGTTTATAATAACAAAACTATTGGACCAGCTCAGGTGTCCAAAAATAAACAAATAAATAAAGGTGTATCCACATAATGGAATATCTTGCAGCCATTTAAAATGATGCTGTAGAATGATATGTATGACAATGAAAATTGTCTTGCTACATTTAGTATAACAAAGTTAGAACACAGTACATATATTATCCAAATTGTGAAAAATAGCCCTTATGATAATCCTAATTATGGAAAACAACATAGATTGGTAAATAGAAAAATCTTAAAGATAGGCACTACAAATGTTTGTGCAATCATTTTTTCTTACTAGTAAAATATTGATGATTTTATTTTGGTATATCTGATAACGGATATGTATTACTTGGAAATTAGTAAAAGTTAATATTGTTTGTTATAGGTCAATGGTCAATAATCCATCTAACTTATTACACATGAAGCCTAGATTTTTTAGTGATGAGAAGCTGATCCTTGTGGACATTTGGCAAATATCACTGCTGGAACACCACCAGGTCCACAATCTTTAACATTTAGGAGCGACCTCACCATTTTGCTTTATGTATATGTCACAATAGCCTCATGAAGTGAGGTAGAGCAAGTAATAATCAGTTCTCTCTGGAAACCAGAAGTACATTGGTAAACCTGAGGTTAGAATGTTGCCTTTCTTTGAAGTCCAAGAGCAACATTATCAGCTGCTGCTACTCTGCATGGGCTCAAAACTCGGAGGGAAAACCTTTCCTTCCGACATTGACTTTTTACCAGTCTAGGCTCAGCCAATAAGCTCCAAAAGGCAGTCGACTGGGAAGTAGGTGCAAAGTGGCAGTCTTTGGGGAGGACAAGGACTGACTCACCACATTCATAAGATCTGCGAGGCTGCTTCTTCTTCTTCCGTTTCCATAGATTTAGACAGAATACCATCATCACACATATAATTATTGCGAGAAGTACAGCTGCAATCCAAGGGGTATGGTCTGGGGGAGGCTGAGGGTTCTCAATCTCTAAAAATGACCACAAATTTTCAGTCAGCCAGAAGAGTCATTTACAAAAGGTTTCTGCTAGCTGCTCTTCTCTTTATTTACTTGCCAGCATCTTCCTGGGACTCTAAGGCCAGAGAAGTCTGAAATCCACAGTAGGAGGCCATAGAAAGTCCCAGACTCAGGGCCTCAGCAGCAACCTAAGATTCAAGCACGTGCCTCTAGCCAAATGCCTGGACTGAGCTGCCATGCCTTCCTAGAGGTGGGGATAACACCGACCATGATGGGGAAGAAGAGGGTCAACCTGGCCCATGATTCTGGAATCTGGGTGAGGTGTCTGTGCTGAGGCTCTGCATGTGCAGTCATCTGTGGCATGCCTGCTACCCCGCCCCCCTCTGCAGTTAGTCCCCAGACCCTGAAGTCCTCTTGTGATGATTCTTCTGTCCACTATCATCTCCACACACCTCTCATTTGGACATTTTGTTTGCTTGTTTGTTTAGTTTTTTTTTCCCACTGGGGTCACAGCAGGTGTCTTTTTTTTTTTTTTTTTGCATGGCTTTCAGCATATCTCATCTACTAAAAAACCTTTGATGTTTCTTCATGCCTTGAGGAATCAGGGTCGGAATCAGCTGCCTAGAAGTCAGGACCTACTTCCTTACATGAGAACTCCTAAGTTTCTGGGGAGTTGGAAAACAGGCTTTTTGGGAAAAAACTTAAAACTGAGTCACCCACTTTAAAGACATTTTTAGGAACAGCTCTGGTAGCTAATCCCCAATTTCAGGAAAACTAGGATCAGCTGTTCTGTGAGCTTAGCTATAATTTGTGGACACACACTCTGTTTCTGTGACATTAAGGAGCCATTGACATTGCAGGCCATATTTAATCTCTTTTGAGTCTGTCCCAGTCTATCCCACTTGAGCCGGTTTGTCACTCCCAGTAAAGCGGGTGTGGGGTTATACTTACTAATATGGAGGCTGCTACCTTTTAACATGCAAAAAAGTCCCTTGACTCAGGGTCTAACCTATCTCTGATTAAGTGATAGAATGGGAAACCCAGAGAGGCAAGCCCCATCTTCCCAAGGCAGCTAGAGCTGAAACATTTCTGAAGATGGTGGTACCTGCGGAAGTTTTGGTGGGACAGTAGTTGAGAAGCAGCAGGAAGGTGAGCCATAATGAGGTTAAAGTGGTGGCAAGCCCCTGTTAATATGTAGACTGTAGGAGCCATAACAGAGGGCCCTGGGGGATGTCACATAAGAAGGTACTAAACTTCAGGCATAGCTTGGAGAGGCTTCTATCTGGCCAAGAAAAGCTACAGAAGCAACTGGGACAGGACAGGTGGTCCCACCATTTACTGGGCTCTCAGAGGCTGAAGTGTCTGAGTGGAAGGAAGTCAGTACCAGGAGATGAGATTGGCCCAGTTGTAAAGTTGGTTCATGGGGACTGGCCCCATGGGCTGTTCATAGATCAAGTTACATCTGAACAAGGCACTGGGAGAGAGGAGGCCAGGGGATGGAGCAAGGAGTTGGATGGATGTTACTAGAGGGGGTAAGCCAGGAGTTATCGCTGGAGAAGGGGTCAAGGCAAAAAGAAGGCAGATGTGGGGGGGTCAATGTCAGCACAGGCAGTGATGGGACAGGACAGGTGCAGACCACCTTTCTTCTAGGAGGAAATCTTACATTTACAGCTCCTTAAAAGCGGAGTCTCAAATATAGACACATGCCCTCCTGGGCGAAGCCACAACTTTAAAATGTCAGGCTCCTATTAGTGGCTACTGTTTAGCTTCAGTCCTTTCCTCCACTGAAGTGGTCCCTGAAGCACATGCTGCAAGCACTTCTGCCTCTGAGGCTTTCTTTGACATACCTCTTGCACTTAGGTCAGATACAGGCTGATCATTGTGGTCCTCTCACCTGCTGAGCCCAGCTACTATCTCAATTTTTTTCTGCTAATAAAGTTACCACAGTTTTGGGAATCTGTCATCCAGAATGCCCTCCTCTCCTCACCACATTTATTAAACTCAATAATTTACTTTACGTGTTACAAGTTGCCCCTTCCCTTAGGAAACCTTCCCTGACCCTCGGGGATCTTGCCTACCTCTGAATGCCCATAAAACTCATTATTGGTTACTTTTGTTTTAAGTTTAGTTACATATATGCATGGAATAAAATTTAGATTCAAATTCAACCTTTTAAAAATCTAATTTTTCATATGTGCACATTACAGAGTTCTGATTCTATTGAAACGTCCTCAAGGGCAGAGGGGATGTCTTATATCTTTTCATTTTCACTCCTGCAACCAATAATGTCCCAAATGGTTCTATACTCACAATAAGTACCATTTGTATGTATGCATGTATGCATGGCGTGTGTGTGTGTGTGTGTGTGTGCGCACGCGTGCGCACACATGCAAGCCCATGTATGTGTTTTAATCAAAGAAATAATTCTAGCCAGAGGAATCCTGCATTTTTTAATCAAAACCTCAGAATCCTCCATCAAAGGTAAACCAAGAGACTGAGTCAGTTTTAGGGCTAAAAGCATATTTCTTCAAGTCCAGCATAGGCTTGTAGCCTCCTGGACCCTGCATCACTCGGAGTGAAGCAGGAGCCCTCCATCTGGGTCCTTCCTAACAGAATCATAAAATGGCCCAGCTGGAGGTTTCCTAGAAAGGCAGGGACATCAGATGATCTGCCTTAAGCATTTGTGTATAATACCTGCTGAAAGAAATAGTCTTGGAAAGCAGCTTTACCTATAGAGAAGGGTGGGGATAAAAGCCGTGTCTTCTCAGTTTGCAGAACGCAGAAGGTGGTCATATTGCTTGTGACATCAGGGAATGAAACAGACAGGCTGATGGAAACATCGTACAGTTCTGTGACATTATCTTGAGATTTCTGCATAACACCATCATACTCGGTAGTTGAATTTTTGGTTATTAGCAAAAAACTCATCTTCTTAGGTTCTGGGTAACCATGTATAGATGAACAGGTCAAATTTATGTACAAATTTTCTGTTATATTAGAAATTGGGACTATTTCAGGTTGACTGAAGTTAGCTGAAAGCAAAAGAGAGATTTTTTAAAAAATCAGTCTAAGTTTAGATATATCTTGGAGGGAATAGCAGATAACTGGGTACTCGATCTGGGGCTCATTGGGGCACACCTGGGAGCCTCAGGGTGTCTAAAATGTGGCCTTCAGCCCAAGGTGAGTGCCACATAATGACTTCATGATTATTTTTCAACAATAGAGTTTGGGGCCATGCTTACTTCTTGCTTATCCAAATCAAGGGGGTGCTCTCTAAGTGACAGGAGGGACATAATTGAGTCACCAAAGATTTATAATGAAGCCACTATTTCCAGGGAGTAGAGTCTTTGGAAGGAAAAGTGGTCTGACTCTAGGGCCCAGGTGTCCCATAGGGCACATTCCAGCTGACCAGATTAAGAGAGCAGAAAGGGATTGAGCTGAATTGTCACCAGGAACTGACAGAGTTCATGCTGGCATGCCGTGGGTCATATCTTTCAGAAATCCAAGCAGGACTATGGTAAGTGAATAGTTGGGGATTTTGGAATTAGAAATTCAGAACACTGATTTTTGGCATGAGCATCGAAGTGTCTTCACAGCATACTCTAAGATGAAGGCCAACTCCAGCTATTTTAGGGAAAAATACACGATCTTGATAAACACAGTGTTTCTCTTGCCTTTGTTTGCCATTTGTACTTTTCTGGATGTTCAGGATCACTGGCATGGAGCCCTTAGACCTGTGTCGTGTGCCTTCTGTTAGAAAAAAGTCTCTTGCTCTTCTATAGTTACTAGGTAGTTTGCAGGTTCTACAAACTAATTTATAATTTAGTTATTCTTACTAAAAGGTCTGTCATTTGCATGTCATCTTTGTAAGTTTTGCTATATCAGTGTAGTATTTGAGCACTCTTCTTAGACTTTATGTGATCTATAGAAGGTGAATTGCCAGATCTTATTTAGCTTTATTAACTACATCTGTGATATCACAGGTTAAGTTATAGTTTTTCTAATATACATTAAAACAAATATGACATGGCTTTCAACATGCTTATTGGTGTCCCACCTAAAACATTTCCAATGGTACCTGACCACATTTTTCAAACATGGATTTAACACTTGGTTAACTGTTCCTAAAGCCTTGCAGCCTACTTTGAATCACACAGGGTTCAAAGGGAGCAGCTCCCCATTCTATTTCTACTTTTGCTTCTGTTTTACTCTATGGTTTTAGAATAAGTGTTGATCTGCCTTTTCAAGTTTCATCAAAAATTAACCTGGGCCGGGTGTGGTGGCTCACGCCTGTAATCCCAGCATTTTGGGAGGCCAAGGCAGGTGGATCACAAGGTCAAGAGACTGAGACCATCCTGGTCAACATGGTGAAACCCCGTTCTCTACTAAAAATACAAAAAAATTAGCTGGGCATGGTGGCGCGTGCCTGTAATCCCAGCTACTCAGGAGGCTGAGGCAGGAGAATTGCCTGAACCCAGGAGGCAGAGGTTGCGGTGAGCTGAGATGGCGCCATTGCACTCCAGCCTGGGTAACAAGAGCGAAACTCCGTCTCAAGAAAGAAAAAAAAAAATTAACCTGGATCCAGTAATACTACACCTGGGTATTTCCCCTAGAGAAATGAGAACTTATATTCACACAAAAACCTGTACATGAATGTTTACAGCAGCTCTACTCGTAATAGCCCCAAACCAGAAACAACCCAATGTCTTTCACTGAGTTGAATGGTTAAACAATAAAATACTACTCAGCAATAAAAAGGGACAAGCTTGATATGTGCAATAACTTGGATGAACCTCAAAGGCATGCTAAGAAAAAGAAGCCAGTCTTGAAAGATTACATACTCTATGGCTCCACGTGTGTGACATTGTCAAAAAGACAAAACTATAGGATGCCCAGCAAGGGTTGAGCGCAGACAGAGTATGACTCTATAAAGGGATAGCCTGAGGGAAATTTTTAGGGTGATAGAAATACTGTATGTCCTGTGGCTGTTAGCTAAATCTATATATGATCTATAATATCAGTAGAACAGTATGCCAAAACAAAAAAAGTTAATTTTACTGTGTGATAGTTTTTAAAAAGTCTGTAGTCACATTTAGGCCTTCTGAGGTCTGCTGAAGCAGAGGAGCGGGTTTGTAAGTTTGTGGGTTATGTTTGTTGAGTTTTTCCCTTTCTGTCCACCAGGCTCATGGTTGTGGCAGCATACAACTCCTAAGCAACCTAGAGGAGGCTGAAGGGAAAATCCAAATGTGTCAGCTGTCCCTTTTGCTAGGACCTCCAGGCAAAGATTTAGTAGCTGAAAAAATCCCGGACCCAAGGGAAAAATGAATGTAAAAGATCTGAGTATGGTTACATATACTTTGTAATGGCCAAATTAACCATGGTTTTTACCATGAAGTAAATGACTTCAATAGTGAACCAAAACCTCTAATTACCCATGGTTTTTACCTTTCAGTTCCCCACTCCCAGACTCCCTTCAAATGGGCTTCCCAGAAATGGCTCTTCTCTGCTTTCTCGCTATAGACCCCCCTTTTCCCCTGGGCCCCTCAAACCCCCCTCCAGTGTTTCTCTAAGTCATTTGCAGTCTCATATGAGAAGGCTAAGAATCTGAACACACACCATTGATCACATACCAAGCACTAACAGGTCGGAATTCATCTGGTGGATGCGAATCATTCCTGTGGGTTTTTTGTGATGAATGATACATCGATATAAGCCCTTGTCCTTGATCTGAAGGTTGTGAAGTCTCAGGGTCCAACTGTCTGGATCAAAACTTGTGCGGCCCATATACTTGGAATGAACGCTGTCAAATTTCTCTTTTCCTAAGTATACCTCATTCAGAACCAAGTTTTCCTGGTTCTGCCAAAAAACTACTAGCTCACTTAGGCTTAGGTTTTGAGAGTTTGCAAACTTGCATGGCAGGTCTGCAGTCTCATTGAAATAAGCTTGAATCTTCAGGGAATCAGCACCTAAAAAGGAAGGTTAAGGATTAGGAAGGGAGAAACAAGAGGAAAGGAAAAAAAAAAAAAACCCTTCATTTCTCTTTATCCAATACCCAAATACTATCTTATCAGTAGTGATCCTGAAGAACTAGATATTAAGCTCTGGAACTGTGCACACATGCCAGGCATCTGGAGATTCGAACCTTTGCCCTTGCTTCACTGATGACTAAATGTGTGGCCTTATACAAACCGCAATTATGAGCCTCAGTTTCCTCATCTGATTAATGAAGTGGTTGACTAAATGTTCTAAGGGTCTCTGTAGTACTATGGTTCTGTGAATTAAAATCCAGGACAGGGGAAACCAGACAACCCATCCACCCATCGGTTACCTTTCTATAACCTGAATTGTGACTCTCATCATTGCAGCCCTCCCCTCCCTATCCACTTATTCTTTGGTCTGCTATGGTGGAAAGATTGCTAATAATGATAATAAATTATAGCCTCCCTTTTATTATACTTCATTAGTTGTAGGATTACATTGAGTAACATCTTTGAAATTCAAATAATTCCCATTACAGAACTTCCCCCATCACTACTTCTCCCATGGCCAGCACTCCCAAGGATATCAAATGATTTAGAAATGACTTCAATAGTGAACTAAGGCCTGTATTCTCAGTGACCTCTCTAAGCTCTTTCAGAGATCAGAAAGAGAACTGGGAACATTTGATGGTTGTTTTTGGATTGCGGTGGTCAATGACCATTTAAGGCACGTGAGTGAAATGCTGGAAGTGAGTCATAGATGGGCAGGTGAGGATGTGCTTTGGGAGTATTGGGGAAGCCCCAGGCACCACAAGCTTTTTGTTCCCAGGATGCACTGACCCTGGACAATTTTTACAACCATGGGCATCATGCTGGAAAAGTTCAGAGAAAGGCTTTAGTCCTTGAAGGCACTTTGGGGTTTGTGGGAAGGATGTGGGCCACCCAACTCCTTAAATGTGATTGATCACAGGGTTTGTGTAGGACCTTTTCTAGGTTACAGAATTACTTGAGACTTGGCAAAAAAAAAAAAAGTAAGCAGTGGTGGGTGAGAAGTATGAGGGTGGAGAGTGGGAAGGCTGTTTCTTACTTAATATGAAGTTAGATGTCACCTTGGAGAGGAAGTTAGTGTAAATTCTAAATAAAATCTCATCATTCAGGATTTATGTGAAGGGATGTTGACATTGAGGAAGAAAGGGAGGAGATGGGTTGATGAGAGATGAGAGGAATTTCATTTGAAGAGTTCTTGGTGTGGGAGTAATTAAATTGATGTGATTTCTCTTGAAATAGGGAAGAAAAGAACAAATAACAGTGACTTATCAAATAACAATGCACTTATCAAACTGAACTGTGTACAGAGTGGCTCAGTTAGAACACATAATCGAAGGGTTGGTGGTGGTCTTGAACGCCAAGGGAAGCAGACAGCAGGCATCAGTGGGAGTTTGCACAAATCTGAATCACTCCTATTGCATTACACTCACTAGGACTCCGTGAAGCACTTAAAGAACTAAATGCACCATCTGTAGAGGATGCATATCTGTACTGGAGGGAGAAGGGAAATCTATATGGGTACGCTGACAGTGAAAGGGAGATCTAAGGAAGATTTAGTGTGTTTGTTGTGACAAGGCAAAACCTGAGGTTTCTGCGTCCTTTGCTGAGCTCTTAATGTAATGCAAGAGTGCCACCTACTGTTAAAGCTTCTAGCATTGTCTCTGGGAAACGCTGGTTTTAGTCTAACTTGCCATATTATAGAGGACAGGTGACCTCATGGAGAAACTAAACATACAGTTAAAATACTGCCAATTAACAGTCAATGTTACGTTATTACTCAGCTGTCAATTGTGCCTTCTGGATCTGGAAATGACTTCATCTTTAGCTTCTTCTGTCTTCCTGATTTACATTTTATTTTATTTATTTTATTTTTCTGTAGAGCCTCACAGTATCTTCTTTCCTTCCCATCGACTCTCTCTACTCACAGGCCAGTCCAACTCCATTGACCCAGGTCCCTTCTCCCAAAGATTACAATGACTTTCTCTTCCACTCATCGAATGCTCCCTTTCTCACCTACCAACTGAAAGTGTGATGTATGGACCAATGAGATTCACGTCACCTGTGGGCTGGTCTGAAACACAGAATCTCTGGCCCCACCCAAGGCCTACTGATTCAGAACCTGCATTTTAACAAGAGCTGTAGTTTGAGCAGCTGCTGTAAAGAATCTCTGCCTCTGTCTCCAGAGTGGATCACAGAAAATAACAGAAAAAAATTTTCTCCATCCGTCCCTCCCCAGACTCCCTCTCCTCCCTGTGGGGTGGAAATCACTCTGAAATCCATTCTGAGTGGAACTGAAAGTATTTTGCAATTTATACTCCATAGCACCTCACCAACCACTGGCTCCCATGATCTCACGCAGAGCTAGGCATGGGGGATGCTGCTAATCCTCTCTCTGACTAAATGGGGAAAGTTTGGCTCAAGGTCTGTGTTCACCAACTGGCTTCAGGCCTTCCCTTTTACGCCCCAGACCTCAAGCTGCATAGCAACTGGACTCACTGGGACTCCATACGTGGGTAAGCATTGAGAATCTCTCCCTTCCCCAGCACTTCAGTAAGAGGAATGGTTGAAGTCTAGTTACAATGGATTTCTATGATGTCAGGGAAACGGCACTCAAGAATCCAGCTAGACCTTCCTAATCAGCTGAAGGAGTTTGTTTCAAAGTATAATTAAGAAATTCCTGAATAATATACTCTACTGTTGGAATACCACTCAAAAACCGTAGTTTGCTAACCTTATGAAGTCTCTGACCCTACTGGGACTTCGGTCTTCCCTGACTACTATTGCCAAATGCATATCTTACATATTTAAGAATTATCTCTTCTTTATATTCCTATGCTTATCTGTACTCAAAAATTTCCTTCTTTTACTAAACTTCCTCCAGAGTTTACTTGGCCCTCTGGAAGCCTCATTCCATTAATTACAAGGAAACTCTCCCACATCTTTAACCTCTTCATTGACTGTTTCCCCTGAGGTTATTATTTCAGTGAAATCTGGCTCTACCCAAAAGAAGCCACCTGCCCTTCCCAGCTACTGTTTGTTTTATCACATGTCATGGGGACTTTGAGGAACACCCTCCCCTTTTGAGGTGTCTGCCTCTTTCACTGCTGTTAGTTACTAAATCACTAACCCCCTGCTCAGTGAGGATTTAGGCATTAGATGCAAGGTCTTGCCAACAATTTGGGTGACTTCTTCATGAATGAGTCTAACAACCTTGCCTCAGATTTCTTTGATTTTGTCAACTCCACAGGTCTTCCCCCACAGACTATTTCAGCAGCTGCCCCCTACCCTCTTGTGATATAACCCTGAACCTTTTCACCTGGAGCAACTCAGTCCCTAGAATCTTAATCTCAAGATACCCATCTCTGTCTGCAACCTCCTATTCATCCAGGTTTTGCTCTTGCTTACTCCTACATCTGTTGTTCAACTTCGTCAAGACCTCAGATGTATACAGTGTGGACCCTATATTGCAGTGTTTGCCACAAGAACTTTTAGTGATAATGAAAATGCTCTATCTCTGTGCTGAATAATATGATAGCCACCAGCCCCTGTGGCTACTGAGCAATTGATACGTAGCTAGTATGACTGAGAAACTGAATTTTTAAAACTTATTTAATTTTAATTAATTGAAATTTAAATAGTCACATATGACTAGTGCTTATTATATTGGACAATGCAACAATAGTATGTTTTTGTAATTATTCCTTGTTATAACTTCAATAAGCATACCCCTTTGTCTCTATAGAATTTACCCTGGGGACACTCTACTTTTGGTCTACATATCTGTTCTTACAATTGAGCAATTGAGCACTTCTGGGGGAAATTATTCAACTGTGCAGACATTACAAATCTGTAGTGTCCAGTCTCACTTCACTTGGCTTCCAGGCTGTTCGCCTGGTTCACCACAGTTACTTCAAACACAAGCCCTCTGCTACTGCTTTTAGTTTCTCTTTCCCTTGGAGTCAAACTCCCTGAAAGAGTAAGTAGCAATTGCAGCCTTCAGTCCCGGCCTCCCACCCCCACCTCTCTACTGACAAAGGTCACTGGTGATGTCCCAACATGGCCAAGGCTGGGGCTCTTTTCAGACCTCATCTCATTTGACCACTCTGTCAAATATAACAGTGGTGGCAACTCTCCTTATTGAAATGTTCTATTCTTTCCCAATCTCTGACTTCCTCATTACTTTTCTCAGATCACTTTTTAATTTTGGTCATCTTGAGTGCATGTTTTTGGTCTTCTTAGTCTCCATACTTTCCCTGGTTTTTCTCCTCTAGTCCCATGGATTCAACTGTCAAGTATAAGCTACTAACTCCCAGGTGCTTATTGCCTGCCGATAATTTTCACTAGAGTTTCAGATACCTGTATCCAACTTCCTGCTGGATTCCTCCTTCTAGATAGCAACAGGTACTCTCTTCCTCCCCTTCAGCCTTCCTCTCCTCTATGTCAAGGAATGCTTCCCTGTTTAGGAATGGTTCCCAGACAACCCTCTTCTGTCTGCAATCATCTAAACCATCTGTATAACCAAGACGAATCATCTATATACCCAAAATACCCAAGATAAACTCTGCGCAAGTGTGTCTGATGAGATCTAGAACTACTATAGTCAGAGCTGAACTCCAATATGTTAGGAAAAGCGTGGGGGAGACTAATGTAATCGGCTCCTAATTCATCTGCCTGCTTTGTCCTTGTCCCTAAGTCTAGTCCCTCAAGCCAAAATGAGCACTTAAAAATACATCTCTAGTCACACAATTCTCCTGTTCAGAAGCCTCCAATGCCTTCCCAACATACTGAAAATTGTATCCAGATCCCTTCCCCTCACACTGAGAACTACATCCAAAGTCCTTCTGCTGGCCTCACAAGACCTCACATAATTGGGTCTCCAGGACCTATGAGACCTCTTTCCCTCACTCTACCCCAGCCACACTGTCTCCCTTGCCATTCCT